TATATATATACGAATTTGAGGTTGAAAGGTTCGGATTGATACCCAGCAACCGAGTTTGCCCTTCCTGGGGTTCATCAGATAGACTCGGTCCCCGAGTTTCCGTCAATCGCATGGCTAACTTAAACCCACACTGATTTGATTTTCACAAGATACCCACCTGAAACTCGGATGAATCTCTCTTCGTCAGCTGAAGGTGCCATGTCAGGCCGCGTCATGTTTCAGTTGGTACGATATTTGAGATGTCGCGGTACGTTGTATGGAAGTAATTCAATATTCACAAATTTGCCGAAAGATTTTCAACAGCCCACAACCGGTTCCGCCTTTCTTGAGGCTCATCATGTATACACGATCCTTTAAGTTTTTATCAACCTTACGTCTACTTGAAATCATGTTCTACGAAGTTCGATCAATACACTCATTTGCATCCCATCATAAACGGGAGATTCCGCTGGGTTTCAGGTGAGTCTCCCGTGAAAACCAAATAGTGTGCAAATGAGTGTGTTAGTCGAAAGATGAACAATAATTGATGTGATTCGGGGAAGGAACACGTGTGGGGTAAAGTTGCGGATGATATTAATGGTCAATGGATGGCGTGGTGCCATTATCAGTTTCATACAGACTGCAACATCTCAGATGACTCCCTTGTATGTGGAATTCCAACCCTGTTAGCCGACTTCCTGTATCTCGCATGTCATATTCTTGTTTGCAAATGGAGAGAGGTTTCAAGTAGCGTCAGCATTTTCTAGCTTTGTCCTTCAAAAATTTATTGCGCAGAATTCACCTATACATCATATTGTACGCTTTTTCGTTCCAGCTATGGTTACATCCCCATGCGTAATGTGTCTTCGCTAATCAGTGGCGTGGCTATTTTCTTTCTTGGTGCCGGTTTCACATTTTATCACGGTGTTCGCGGTTTGTTGGAACCGCACGACGTTGAACCACTTCATTGGGTAAGTGAAAATTACGCTGACTGATTGTTCTTCAAGTGCTTTCGGGTTCAGCTTTTTATTCCACAAATGCATATCTTTAGTGCATCCGTGTCAAGTTGCAATGTTTGGTGACCTTTCGTAAAGTTCAGCAATGAGGAACTGATCAACTCGTGATTTGCGCTGTTGCCTGTACTCCACTAGATTCCTCTAGGGCCCAATATTCGCATAACTCATTCTCTAGATACACGCAATAGATCATTCGTCAATAGGTTTAAACATAATACAGAACGGGATGCGATTTATCGTGACACCACACGGATAATATGTCGGCGCATTAGCAGTAAGATGACACGTTCAGAGACCACGTGCCACGAACCATTCGTCTGAAAAACAACTGTCGCATGGCAACTTTGTTGCATGAAAAGCCGGGGAATCAGGCTGTTGGACCCTTATTGTTTCAGATCAGCCTGAGTATATGACGAAATGAGTTTTTTTTATTTTTCCTATTATTCGTTTGCTAGGTCTCTCTCACTTGTCAATTATGAATCCGAAATGTTTTGAACCGGTTTATTGTGCTCAAGGTAGTGCCTTAATGGTGAAGACGGAATCGTTGTAATTTATTATGTTTTTCATCTTATGTAAGTCCTTGGGAATGAAAATATCATCCATCTGCAAAAGTTGAATTTACTCCTCCTTCGTGCCATGCAACCTTCCCAGTTTGTTGGTGAACTCCATCCCCCTTGTGCTTTTTACGTGCCCAAATCAGTGTTCAATTTGAGGATAATGTTATACTGGGACGAGATGGACCAAGTGGTTAGAGCGCGAATTTACTGACCGAAAGGTCAATGGTTCGAACCCGACCTCTGCCTCTCGACTTCCTCTGTCTAGGCTTGGGCAACCTGGCAGTATCCCAGCCCTCGAGCTTTCCTCGGGTGGCGTGGCGGCCAGGCACTGAAAGGATGCTACAGCTGAACGATTTTATTTTTTAAAGCTATGGGTGAGCGGTATATCACAAAAGCAGTCGAGCAGAAGTTCAAACCTCAGCTCCTTTTAAAACAGTTGTTAGCTGTGATAGGTTCTTCCTGGTGGTTTTCGAGACGGCACAACACACATCGGTCTTAGCCTCCTATTTGTTTCTTTTTTCCACACTCCGAACTTCCGCGAGTCTATGTAAACGACTCACAAATTTACACTCGCACAAAGAAAGGCCAGTGTTACTTTAAGGTTAGGCGTATACAGGACCGATCGAAATTCCTGTGTTTCTACTTGTTGTGACTTGCTGAACGGTAGTGCAACTCTGTATCGGCCCCTTGGCTCCCTGCTCCGCCCACCACGGTATATCAAAAGGCACGGTAGCCCTACACAGCCCTTTCTGGAGACGAAGGAAAATTATTACAACTGTATTTATGGGGTGTTCCACAAGGTTGTTTCAGAATCTCCGTGAGGGGGCGAGAAACGTCGAGCCAAAGGTGCTTGCCTCGGATTGGCTGGCATTCTGACCAATCAGAACATGCCTTCGTTCGGCCCGTGTCCTGCAAGTGACACATCCGTCCAAATGATGTGGCGTTCGGTTATTAGGGACGGCTAGCCTCCGTACACTACTGATAACCCAAGTTGTCCAATAAATCGGACGGGACAAATAAGGCTGAAATCACATGGCAGCTAGGGTCGGCTTACCAAAATATTCAACCAGGAATCAGTCAGCTGTTAGTCGTGTCCAAATTTCATAGTGCATTTCAATTTCCGTTTAAAATTCTCTACGCAATCTCACAGTTTTGTTCGACTTCCGATGGAGAAACCATCTAACTTCGAATTCCCACTCAGCCATCAAAACTTTTGGATGTACTCACTGCACTCACCTACATAGGCCTTGCAGGGGAGAATCTATCCGTGGACTATTCAGTTATTCGCTAAGTTTGGCAAGTTCGTTGTATACTTTTCGTCTTCAAACGAAGTGACGTCATCAGTGCATGATAGTGTAACAGTCAGTCGTGTTGCGCTGAACGTGTACATGTAGATTCTACTAGGTATGTTTTTTAGATTCGTTCAGCTGTTGCACCATTTCGGTGCCTAACTGCCATACCCGAAGGTTACACAAGGGCTGGGATACTGCCAAGTTGCCCAAGCCTAGACAGGTGAAGTCGAGAGGCAGAGTCCGGGTTCGAACCACGGACCTTCTGGTCAGTAAATTCACGCTGTAACCACTTGGGCCATCTCGCCCCGGTTGACTTGTGTAGAACATTTAGTCCCGTAAGGGAAGCCAATCTGTGCTGAAAATACGAGAAACACTGTACAGTTGTTTCATTCTTATTGGGAACCATCCCCAGAGAGCCTCTAACCCTCGAAATGCCAGCTACAAGTTTGAACTCCTGACCGTTAGGCTACGAGCAGCTTTTGCAGTTGGCTGTGTGAATAGTTAGTCCATTTGGTTGATTGGTTGTGTTATATCTGATGATTCGCCAATCTGAGGTATCTACTGCTGACCCGCTGCAGTGTTTAGTGTCGAGAGAAAGGAAGACTCACGGAAGGGAACACAATAGCTATATACCAACAAAGCGGTTACGAGAGCGCGAGTGCGTGCGAGTGCGAAAAGTAGAACGGCCTCAAGCTTTTTATTGGAAGGTCACTGTCTGAACTTGCTCCAATGCTGACGCACACGGTCTGGCTGCGACGTGCTGCATATTGCGGGGGCGTTGTCTGACCTTGATCAACGCTGACTCGCGCTCTCTGGGTTTGATACAAGACTGTGGTGCGCTGCATATTGAGGGGCGTTGTCTATCTGGTCAACATCTAGCGGAGCTGAGAGTCTCGGTAGATTTCGCGCATTCAGTGGTTGCTTTCAGGAAGCTGATAGGTTGACTGATGTCGTTGGCCGTTGTTTGGTTTTGGCCTTTCTGGTCTCTACCCATGGATCTTTGGTGTTTGCCCTTCATGGTCGGCCCTCTCAGCTAATCCTTTCCCCCGGCATGCCGTTCCATTTAAAGTCCCCCGTTGGGTTGGTAATCTTTTGCTCTGAGGACCTCACAGATTAAGTCAAATTCCTTACATAGGTTAACTGAATTTATTGTAGGGTTCTGCTGTCCCTCTACCCTGAGCTATTAAATACGAGCATACGGCAGTTCCCATCAGTCCAAAAGTTCTGATTTGGAAGAAGTTCATGTCTACGGGACACTAACCATTCAGAGCTGTTTATGGGGGTTGAGGCACACTCAAATCTGACAGAAAGTAAATTGCAAGACTAAGCAGTCCTACAATTTGGTGCCTCATGGTAACCATATCTCATACAAATCAGTCCCATACATATTTGTGAAGTCGGGAACTCCTCGAAATCGTATTGCATAAACGTGGTACGTGTCAGCCTAGAACTTTGACCTTTACAAGTAAAAAAATGCGCACTTAACCCAGGTTGTACAACTTTTGTTATGCAGCATATAAAACGCTGCTAACCAAAAGAAAATCAAACACAGAAAGCCTTCTCTAACGTGAATATGTAGCATTGTTCCTTTGGTGAGGTTTCTGGTTGATCGAGATCTGTACGTCGACTCCGGTGCTCGCCCTTTGATTTTCCCTTACAAGCAGTCGCATTTCGGTACACCCAAGTATCGGAGCTTGTGAAAAAGACACCATTCCACGTGCACAATTTTTTTCGGAGGCAATCAACCGAAGACAAATTGTGAATGCTCAATAACCAGTGTAACTGCATTAGTCACAGAGATCCCAGGCTCATCACTAACCAGGCTGATGTAATTTGCAACAAATCTGACAACCGAAACCGGACACACTATTATCTTATTGAATTTTCAAGAAGTTTCTCAAAAATCAGCGGACATCGGAATCTTCATAGTATCATGATTCGTGGACCTCGCTTGTGTTGGACTCTAATTTTACTGGGTGCGTTGGAACGGCCCCGAAAACTTCACGATCGTTTTATGCTTCTGATTGGCTATCCGACCTATAGTTAGTTGAACTTGTGATAACGTTGAACGCCATGCTAATTCACATTAGGATTCTACCACGAGTCGAATAAAACACACGAAATCAAATGGGTTGCAGCGTTCCAACCCTCTTGGGGGAGTTTGCTCAAAGTAAATCCGCTCTTACTCATGGGGCTTAGACTGCAGACCGGAACCGAGTTCTCCTAGCTTAGACAAATGACGGACAGTGTTTGGGATACGTTTGTATGTAGAGTTTTCATGACATTTGCTCACGTTCATTTGATCCAGTAAGCACGACCTGATAGCGACCACCATATAAAACAGTGTGGCAGTACGCGATTTCGCATCTACGCTCTCGGATAACCTCTAAATCGCCTTGGTCAGCAATGATGTGTACCTGTCCTCTTGCGATCTGAATTCCGATCCGGAATTCGCGTAGGTCCACCCAGGTGATTTTTCTCTACTTGTGTGCAGCGCTTTCAGTTCTTAGAAATAGTGACCGATTTGTACAGTTGGAGTCTGCATGCCTTGATTCGTCCTTAAACCGTGAGCTTTTGGATCTTAATTCCCGACAGATAATAGCTGTTTCAAGAAGCAAACAACTTGTTTTAGGATGCTCAGCCATTCAGCATTTTCAAGGACTCTAATGGCGGTAGTAACTGCACTGTTATTGGTATGATCTCTTTCCGTAATCCTCGATTAAAGTTGACGTTTCACCAACTTTTTGCACAAATACCACGGGCGATTTACTTTGATCTGTTGCCTGGCAGTACCCCAACCCTCGTGCTTCCTTTGGGTGGCATGGCAGCTACGCACCAGAAGGGTGTTACAGCTGAATGATTATTTGAAGGAACACATTCATCCTATTCCATGGTGTTTGGGCTCTGACACCATTTCCCGCATTTCGTCGGAACACGTTGATCGTTTTTACTCAATCCAATCAAAGTATCTTATACCCTTGACTACTTTGAAGTCTTTCGTACCTCTGAAGATAACATGCTTTTCGTCGGAACCGTCGTCAGTGCCATTCATTTCATTTTTTTCGATGCTCTTCAGATGGTTAATCTTATTGCCGGCCTGTAGTTA